GAAAATATTGACCCTATTTATGTGACAATACACTACAGAGAACAATTAATACATTCAGGTGTCTGAAAACAAGCAGATTCAAGGTCCTATGTCAGAAACAGAAGAAGAAACCATAAAAAAGTGCACAGGAGGATCTCAAAATTTAGCTGCAGATGCTTCACAACTGAAAGTGTTAAGGCAGTTCTGTTTCTGTGTACCACAATACTTTGTCAAAATCTATACAGCTGACCAACAGACAAGAACAGCACTAGACTCCCAAAAGACCTGAAACTGTAACAATTATATAGGAAAATATCTATTTTTAAGGGCTCTGGAGATAATTTTGCCACTCCCTGATAATCAAACTATAAGAGCTACTTTTGAGGGATCTGAAATTATATTTTACTTCCTAAACATATAATCAACCTATAAGAAGCACTAACCAGGATGGTGAAATCTAAAGTTTCAACTAATGGCTGGTAAAACACAACAGGTTAAAAGGAAATCACATTTCTTCCAATTTAGACAGTACATGGTCACATACTTTTAAGATAAGCCTTACTGTTGACCAGATATGACTTCTCCTTTTTTTCTTTTTTCTTTTGGCTAAATGAATAGATAATGGAAGTTATTTGAGAAGGCCAAAAACATGAGGCAAGGGAAGAGATGTTGATCCATATTCCAATACCTGTAACACAGCCCTTGACAAATGCGTGATGGCCTGTAGACAAATGAGATTTCTCAAGTCCTGAAACTCCAGGGAATTCTTGAGCCAAAAAAGAATCAGGCTGAAGTTTCATTGATGCTTTCTCAGATGGTTGCACTACTGACATAAATGGAAACCCAAGTATTCCACAAGCCACACATGCCAATGTCCCTGAGTCGACTTGAAAGTCACATGACAGATCATCACTACCCAAATATAAATCATTCATATTTTCCGTATACAAACTCATCTCATCAAACAGTAAGTTCTGATCATTATTATTATTTCCACACTGAATATGGGTAGCATTTTCTTTTGGCTTCATATCAACAGGAGCACCTGCACTGGGTGTTTGGGGCTCTTTACTTGTATATGGAAGTAAATCTGGGTTCCATAATACTGCATGGTAACTTGATTCTTTCCGAAGAAGGGCAGATAAAACGTTATTTTCCTTTAACATATCTTCAACAAAAGCCTTCTTTACTGATAACTCCCTTTCTTCCTTTTGCCGATCTCTCATACGCGAACCCCGCACACCTGGTAGTAGGGACCTTGGCACTCTAGCATAATAACAAAAATGCAAAGCCAAAACAAGAGAAACAATGTCTATCAGGTGCCCCACTTGACAACTTTAGCAAGACAACAAGCAAAGTCATAATGCATTTCTATCATCTATCTAACTAAGGAGTAGAAGAGCAAATGCAAAAGAACAACTTTATCACAATCATGATTATCTGAATCATCAACGAACAAGTTCCAGAAGCAGCATGTACAACCATACTGAGACTATCTTTCGCTCAAAATAATCCAAATAAGATGGTTGGCTGACCTTGAAACAAAAGACATGGTCAAGAGGTATAGCAGCTGTTGATGGGAGAGCATAGGAAGATAATTCATAGCAGCTCTACGTACTGCAGCTTCTTTAGCTACTTCAAGCCAGTGTGGTGTTCCAAAGTTGGCAGCTTCCCCACAGTTAAAACCTTATATTCCAAATAGGTAATAAGATATGTTTAAATAGAATAAAGAGAAACGTTATGAAAAAGAATGACTTGCAAACGAAAATGGGAAACATCATGTCGCATGTTACAAAGGATCACGATGTCAGTAACAAATGAATATAAAAATTACTAATGCAATTGTCAGAAATAATGTAAGTTTGTCATAACATTGCCATATCAGCAATTATGGTCAATAAGGCATTGGCAGAGGAGAAATTATTCCAAGGGTTTGGTCCTTTTTTACAGTATGCATTTTAAAATCAAGTTTGGCTCAAACACCACATGTTCACAAAGGAATTGAATCCTTTAAGTATTTACCCCTTTCTCTGTAGATTTCATGTGTGTGTGTATATATATATCCTAGGCTTTCTGCCACAAATACCTAGTTGTGCGCATTCAAAGAGTCAGAACAGAGTTCAGGCCAAAATGTTACAATTATCATATTCTCCTTCAAAATTAAGTACTACGTGCAAAAATATAAAGCAATTACCGTGGCTGAATCCTACATGGTAAGCCCTTGGAAAAGTCACAACAAACTCACCAGGGTTCTGTATTAACCTAAAGAAGAAACCAGAAGGGACATAAGTAGAACCCAATAAAGACTCTGCTTCACGGATCAAAGCCAAAATATTTAACATGTAAAAGAAATCCACAAACTAAATTAACATTATAATGGACCACAGAAGTAACAAGAACGAGAAAAGAAAAACCCACCTGCAACAAGGAATTCCCGATGCAACAACAACCTCAGGTGAAATTAAAGTTGTTTTATTACCCAGTAATGAGAGAGCAGCTGGCAATAAGAGAAACTGGACCTGAGTTAGAAAAAGGCTATAGAAGTAATAACACTCAATAAATTTCAGAATGTAATGGGCAATCCTGTAAGAACAGAACACATAAAAAAATTGAATTAAAATTTGTTTGGAGATGCTATATTTTGGACTTCCAATCTGCTTAAATTGTAAACTTTTATGAAACAACCAATGAACCAGCCATGAAGAGTTTCACATACCTAGGCGGTCAACATTACCACCAAATGCCTCAGTGCGAATAAGTTCCTCAAAATCAAATGCATAATCTCCTGGAACAGCATACCAAGTCTTTGAAGATCCAGTGTGAAGAAAATTCATGCTGTGAAGCTCATGATCTTCAACGTGCCAAGCAAACCAACTGAACAACATTCCAATGTAAATCATAGGAGAAGTAACACCCGGGATATCATCAGGCATGAAACGAGTAAGTGAACCAGGTGAGCGTGCAATTACTTGTAAGTTCCAAGGACTGTTTGAAAGCCTCCAACCAGCAGTACCTTCTGTATCACAACATGCATTTGGATTTTTTCGCCTAGAAGATTGGGAGGTTTCTTCTGCTGACAAGATTTCTGGAGCAGTAGATGAGTTGGATACCTCTAAACATGTATCTGAAACATTCTTAGGAGAAGCATTTTTAACTTCAATACTATGAGAGTCTCTTTCACTACTGCTAATCAGGTCACTTGTCTTACTATCAGAGTTTTCTCTACTTCTATGGTAAGAATTCCTCTTCCTCCTCCGCCTATTAGTATAACGGAATTGACCAACCGGTTCTTCAAAAGCAGACCCAGGCACATCATTTGCATACTCCACATATATAGGCTTCTCAGAAGCTGCCTTCCAAAACATTTCCTCTATAAGCAGTGGAGAGACCTCCTTAATTGTACCTAATATGCTCCTAGCAAAAGCCCTAGACTTAGATTCAAACTGCTCCAAAGTATAAATTTCCCCACTTTGCCACACTTGCTTATGAACACCTGATGGCGGATTCTGAACTGCTGCCCCTTTCACTCTTTTCACACTCTGGCCCAATTCTTGGTGCCTTGTGGTAAAGACTGCCCTAGCCTCCCCATCATTACGACCATCCCCAGAACCCGTTTTCAGGGGAGAACAATCATTCAACAAATTTACATCAGAACCCAATTCTGGGCACTTTGCAAGCGACTTATTTAAGTTGCTAAAAACATATCTTTTCGAGGGTTTTGGCAACGGTGGGATAATCTTGCAAATACCAAATTCACTAGCTTCCTTCTCAATTTTCGATATATAAGCAATTGGGTCTGCAAATTCAGTATGAGTCGGTCGAAACTCGGGCGCCAATGGCAACCCTTTCAGCCAATTGGGTATCTCAACATCACCCATTTTTCCCAAGATTCACATCCACAGCATTATTCTCCTAAAAGATATAAGCTTTTGGTACATTGGCTTCTAATCATGTAATCAATAAAGTTACAAGACCAACCCAGTAACGAAACCCTAGAAGTGCAAGATTTGGGTAAATTGGCATGGGTTTGTAGCAATTATTCATACATAAAGCTCAGAAATTGACTAATTGAGAACCTGTACATTCAACGAGACTGGTTGATTAGCCTTCAGAAGCACTCCCAATTCCAAGTGGTGTCTTGTCTGTAAATCACAGAAAGAGAGAGCTTTGTCTAGGTTTTGAGCGACAATCTTGAAGCTGCCTCAAGATAGAGTTTTGGCGAAGGGCCGTCACTAATCTGCGCGGCTGGGACACAGCGCACGAAGGAAGTCACTGTTGTTTTCTGACGGTACGACTTGGGTTGGGTTACATTGCGCGTATGTGCGCATTTTAACATACAACGGTCTTGAATATATTATATAGAAATGGTGGTACCAAATAGATAAGTATACCTTCATACCACAAAAACAAGATAAGTTATAACTCAAAAAAAGAATATAAGTTAACCTTTATTTTCTTTTAAATATTTTTTTTTTGTCAGATATTTTCTTTTAAATCTAGGATAAGTTATCACTAGCATCACAGATAACGTGTACTAATAATTTATGTGTAACAATATAGGGGTATGATATGATTCATATTTGGAATTGAAATTAAATGAAGGAAATCAAAATCAAAAGTGAATTGTGGAGAAAATTTAGATAAGAAGAGATTAATTAGGGATGTAACTGGAATTATCCAGATACTTCAGGAGTGGAGAAAGACTTGACATTGAACTGTCATTACATACATGTATAATTGGAGAAACACTTACATATCACGAGTGTAATATCCTTTATATATATATGTCTCTTCATAAAGTTCATATAACTTAGTCACATAAAAAAGCGAGAGAGAAAAAGCCCCACAGGGGGTTTGACATTTAACAATAAGAGACAGTGGAGAGATTACATATTGCAATGTTATTTCAATGTCACGATCAAAATGCATTACCATTGGGATAGAAATTAGAAAAGAACAAAAGCTACTTTCAACAAAAACAAAGATTCCATGTACTATATTTGGAAAGTGAGGGGACCAACATGAAAAAGTTTTCAATAAAATGATCATGATGATTCATTTCGTGATTGCACTTTTGTTATTTTAACGTTCTACAAGCTAATTACGAGTTTAATTTTATTTTGTGAGAGGAATATTGTATATAACAGTAAAGAAACTGTTGGTAAAAAAATTACAAAGTATGCTTGGTAAAGAATATTGCATCTCTATTTACAAACTACAATGGAATATTGTTCAGCTACCCTTATAATATTCACAAAATTCCAGTAGTTACATCATTTATTTAGACCAACTTAATTAGAACTTAATTAAATCTGAAACTTGCTTGATGAACAATCAAAGGTTGCGATACCGATTCCACTCCGAATTCCGGTTGCCGGAGATCTGTTTGCAATAGTTCTCACAGGCAATCTCACAGATGGGAATGCTTGCCCCTTCCTCCTTCATGCAGACTGGCATGCATGGCTTGGCGCATGCGGATATTGCTTCACTGCCCTGCATGCTGCTACATCCAACCACAACAACTAGCACACAAATGAGAATGGCAGTTTTATTGGCCATATTATTGATCCTTTTTTCTTTTTTTTTAATCACTGATCTCTCTTGGGTTTTTGGTGTTTTCTTAATTTTTGAGAGGGTTTTGATTGAATTGTGTTTGAAAAATGAAGATGAAATTAGAAATAGTGATGGGGTTAGGTTTTTATAAGGGGTGAGAAGTTGGACATACTTAGGAAAGAAAGATGTGTGCCTCATGTTTTAGGTGGTTTGGAGCAAAACAGGGTGATGAAAATATGAGGTTGGGATTGCAATTTACAATAAAAGCCATATATTTTAGTTGGTTTTTTTTTCCCCAAGAAAGAGGTTAAAGTGGCTAATCATACAATTTAGTACTCTCTATGTTTAGCTTCTAGCACTCTAATTCAGTATTTTGAAGTGATTTTGTGAGCCATAACCGTTGGTGAATATGCTCCCATCAATGTGAGGTTTTTTGACTTCTCGGAACATACAAAAATTTCTCCTATTTTGGGTTCAATTAAAGAGAGGGATGGGGATTGAAAATGGGTTGCTTTCATTATTGTTCACAAATTGAAATTGCCACTCAAAAACACAAATCTGAAGACCAAAAAATAAAGCTGCCATGTACAAGTACATGGGGCAAGAGCTGAATTGTATAGAATATCAAAAGCCTGAACATAAACACATGCATGCTGCAAGGGGAATGTTAGACAAGATAACATCTTCAACAACTAATGTTGTCACTTTTCCATTTTAACAATAGAAAAATAATCCAAACTCTGCCAACAAAGGCTAAAAAGATAATGCATGGATAATATTATGCTATAACTTCAAATTTTGTCCAAAACAACCAGACTTGACCTTCTAACCTCTAACAGCAGAATCAGGGAGTTCTCTCTCTCTCTCTCTCTCTCTCTCTCTCTCTCTCTCTCTCTCTTCTCTTTCTGTGGGTGCAGAGTGGAGCCAAATTGGAAGATCTGTTGGCTTTTGAAATTGAATGATGTGTCATGTTGAGGGTCTCATTCTTCATATATATATATATATACCAACACTTATTTTAATTGAAATCTGTGTGCTATATAGCTCATGGGCCATGGCTCAAATTGACTTGTACCAATTGGCCACATGCAATTCTCTAGAAAACTTCAAACAATGCAGCAAAAAGAAAACAAAGTTGCTTCTGGAGTTTATTTAACAAGTTTTTCATTGGTGTACTTTATTTATGTTCCATTCAAATTTCAAGTTCCAAAAAAATTACAGACAGATTGTTCCATGAACACGAACACACTGAGACTAGGTTTACTTAATGAATGGCATCATTCTTAGCATGTACATTTCTAAATTTCTGGGAATGGTTTTTCTAATTTCTCTTTATTTTTTTCTTTCTATTGTACTTTTGATTCAGTCCTCTCATTTAGTTCAGAGAGATGTACATTAACAGGGGAAATATGAAAATGATGGTTAATTATGAGCTATATACTTCCATAATTAGAACAGTAATTGCAGGTGAACTATGATCTACTTTACTACCCCACCAAAATGTAATAAGAATCCACTGCTCTCTCTCTCTCTCTCTCTCTCTCTCTCTCTCTCTCAAACACAATTGTGGCAAAATAATCTATATATTTTACAATATCCCTAACAGTAGCTAATCTACATTGGAAATTCTCACCTACATACTGCTATATAAAGCTAAACTTTGCTGCCATACAATCCTCAGTGCCCTCTCCTTCACTCTCTCACTCTCACAGTCTAGTTGTCATCAACATCGATGAAGCCAACGGAGAGCAAGTTTCTCATCAAGCAATGCTTTCGTAGATGCAGGAAAGCCGGCGCTACTGTCCTAAAGAGTGCAATCTGGGTTCACACTAGCAATAGATACATGTGGTTCTGCTTTGATGAGAAGGACTATATCCCAAAAGATGTCCCAAAAGGCCATTTGGTGGTGTATGTTGGTGAAGATTGCAAAAGATATGTCATCAAGATTGCCTTGCTCAGCCACCCTTTGTTCAAGGCATTGCTTGATCATGCCGAGGGAGTGTTCCAGTTTTCCACCAACTCAAAGCTCTGCATTCCTTGCAATGAATGCATTTTCCTCAGCGTTCTTTGCTGCATCGGCGCTGAACTTGATTAGGGGCTTCATTATCATTGAGGTGCCATGTTCCACAGGTTTCATAACACATGCTTGGAGCTTGGAAGATATATAAGATATGGTAGAAAGTCAGATGCTGAGTTTGTGTTGTATTTGTACATTGTGTACCTTCACAAGAGTAACTATCTAAACAAAAATTCTCCACAAACCCACGATTCAAGTGCCCAAATATCTACACATTTTTACATGATTTTCAGTTCAATGATCAAATTATATGGAGGGTCCTTCTGTGACTACAACATTCAGTTTTCCAAGTCATACCTAGTGCGACAACTGTGATTTGATTGGCATGATAGAGATGTAACTTTGTGTAGGGAAATAGCATTATTTCTCTAATCGCAAAAACTCCACCATAGCCTAATCTACTCTACGTAATGCTACCTATCTACACATTTTTACATGATTTTCAGTTCAATGATCAAATTATATGGAGGGTCCTTCTGTGACTACAACATTCAGTTTTCCAAGTCATACCTAGTGCGACAACTGTGATTTGATTGGCATGATAGAGATGTAACTTTGTGTAGGAAATAGCATTATTTCTCTAATCGCAAAAACTCCACCATAGCCTAATCTACTAATCTACTCTACGTAATGCTACTGAAATTATTCATAAATATCTCACACTTAGCATTCATAGCCATCTCGTAGATGCTAAAAGTGAGGAGGATCCCTAATTCTAAGTTCCTTGATGGTGAAGCAACTTTTATTAGGCCAATATTCCAACTGATCATATGCTTTTGCATGCTTCATTTCCAAATTTAGATGAGCAGAGCCTCCTTAAGTCAAAGCATCTATCTGCAATTAGAGTGCTAAAGGAGCCTAGTGGTGCTTCCCAGGCTAATTGTAAGTTGTAACCAGAATTGGGCAAATGAAGCCATCTAATCTTGTAAATGAGTTTACGAATTGTAATTTTATCGCCGATTTGCTTTCTTCATTTTTCTATAGTGCTTGATTTAAGTGACTTAGTTATACTATATACCTACAATGTGAATGGATGAAAAAGTTACGAGGGCATCAGCCAAGTTTGAAGAGAATGCAGCGTTCTCAAATTAAACCATGAAAATAAAATTACTAAAATAGACTGCGATAACTTGTTCAGCTTTTTTGATATTAATATGGAAAATACGTTCTGTAATCTCTCACTCTCACAGTCTAGTTGTCATCAACATCGATGAAGCCAACGGAGAGCAAGTTTCTCATCAAGCAATGCTTTCGTAGATGCAGGAAAGCCGGCGCTACTGTCCTAAAGAGTGCAATCTGGGTTCACACTAGCAATAGATACATGTGGTTCTGCTTTGATGAGAAGGACTATATCCCAAAAGATGTCCCAAAAGGCCATTTGGTGGTGTATGTTGGTGAAGATTGCAAAAGATATGTCATCAAGGTTGCCTTGCTCAGCCACCCTTTGTTCAAGGCATTGCTTGATCATGCCGAGGGAGTGTTCCAGTTTTCCACCAACTCAAAGCTCTGCATTCCTTGCAATGAATGCATTTTCCTCAGCGTTCTTTGCTGCATCGGCGCTGAACTTGATTAGGGGCTTCATTATCATTGAGGTGCCATGTTCCACAGGTTTCATAACACATGCTTGGAGCTTGGAAGATATATAAGATATGGTAGAAAGTCAGATGCTGAGTTTGTGTTGTATTTGTACATTGTGTACCTTCACAAGAGTAACTATCTAAACAAAAATTCTCCACAAACCCACGATTCAAGTGCCCAAATATCTACACATTTTTACATGATTTTCAGTTCAATGATCAAATTATATGGAGGGTCCTTCTGTGACTACAACATTCAGTTTTCCAAGTCATACCTAGTGCGACAACTGTGATTTGATTGGCATGATAGAGATGTAACTTTGTGTAGGGAAATAGCATTATTTCTCTAATCGCAAAAACTCCACCATAGCCTAATCTACTCTACGTAATGCTACCGAAATTATTCATAAATATCTCACACTTAGCATTCATAGCCATCTCGTAGATGCTAAAAGTGAGGAGGATCCCTAATTCTAAGTTCCTTGATGGTGAAGAAACTTTTATTAGGCCAATATTCCAACTGATCATATGCTTTTGCATGCTTCATTTCCAAATTTAGATGAGCAGAGCCTCCTTAAGTCAAAGCATCTATCTGCAATTAGGAGCCTAGTGCTTCCCAGGCTAATTGTAAGTTGTAACCAGAATTGGGCAAATGAAGCCACCAAACCTTGTAAATGGGTTTAAGAGTTGTAATTTTATCGCCGATTTGCTTTCTTCATTTTTCGAAAGTGCTTGATTTAAGTGACTTAGTTATATAATATACCTACAATGTGAATCGATGATAAATGGATAATTTGATAAGCTATTGCAAGGTTTACATGTAATTTCCACCATTCGTCACACTTGTATCTATGTACATATACGGTATACCCACGCAGATCGTAGACCCAACAGTATCATCTTGGGAACCCATACAAGTAGAAAGAGATTGTAGCAATCACTCTCACTCAAGGGTGTATACAACCGGTGACACCCAGGAATCTCTCCTAACTTACATTCGTAATTGAAAAAGTTCTGAGGGCATCAGCCAAGTTTGAAGAGAATGCAGCGTTCTCAAATTAAACCATGAAAATAAAATTACTAAAATAGACTGGGATAACTTGTTCAGCTTTTTTGATATTAATATGGAAAATACGTTCTGTAAAAAAATTGCCATCGATGTCATCTTTATGTGACAAGGATCACAAACAAAATTAACATCAAAACAAACAAACTCCTATACCAGATAAATGGGTTTAGGAGATAAACACTGCCGGCTCTGACAATTATATCAGCATGAAATCCAACTCTACCACAAATGGAACTACATGGAGCTGAACTGTTGAGAAATGGGGCCTAATGGAAATCAGGCTTTTCGGGGTATGTGCAGCCTGACCTTTGGATGACAACATTTGCGGCATAACAACCAGCTCTAACACAGTCTTCCATGGGCTTCTCTTGAACCAGCTGAGACAAGAATCCCCCAACAAATGCATCCCCTGCCACAAGAAACATCATGGGTTTTGTTAATCATTATTGAACATGACCTCTTCTGTTCTTCATCTGTAATCCCGATTTCCCACTCAAGTGTTTCACCGGTAAACATTGATAATTGCTTATAGTTAAGGGGTAAGATATCACATACCAGCTCCATTGGTATCAACCAGCTTCTCCTTAGGCAACAAGATCACAGGATACAATTTCACCTTCCCATCCTGAGCAACCACAACAGGATCTGCACCTTGAGTGATCACAGTAATCCTCTTGTGAGCACCTGATGCTTTGGGCAACTGGGAAATCTTTATAGCGATCTCCTCGACATTGTCAGTCTGATTGCAAAAGACATTATAATTAGTGACTGGTAGAGATTAGAAGTTATGCTGTCAAATTTGAGATACCCAAGACCAAGTAGTGTTACCTCCCAGCCATGAACCCTTGAAAAGGTTCTTGCTTCTGTCTCATTCCCAAAAACATAGTCCATGTACCTATATGAAAAGGAAATTCAGTACTCTCCATTAAGGGACACCATGAACACCAAGAAACTTATTTTCTTTACTTTTTTACTTTTATTTTAAGGGGTGTGGGGTTGAGGGCAGAAGTGACTTACGGCAGGGCTTTCTCCTGCACATCCTTGAAGAACTCACAAATGAAAGGAGCAGATAGATTCATCATGAATACCTACACATGCAAGAGAAGGCTGCTGAAGCTATTGAATTTAACAACAAGAAGAGAAAGACTCCAACCACATTGTTCATACTCAATCCAAGAAAAACTACAGTTTTGATACCTTATTGTTTGCAGCTGCATGTTCAGCAACCAGTTGGATGGACTCAGGAGACACAGTAAGGAAAAATCCAGCAATGTAGAAATATTTTGCCTTTTCCACTGTTCAAGCATGCGTTTATGCAGACATGAGTCTGAGAGGACAAATGACCAAAACTACTAAAAAAGACGAGGTTTGAATTAACAAGAGAGCAAAGGAAGTAATACCCAGAGCCCAGTTTTCTGGTTGCTTCAAATGCTCAGATTTGTAACAATTTGCAGCTGATAAGTTAGCAACAAGGGACCTGTACAATTATTTGTAACAGGAAATTAATCCCAGCAAAGTTTTAATAAACCATAGGATTAGTTGATGAGAAAAAGAAATAGAAAACTTCATGCAGGGGCCTTTTGTTCCAAAAATTTATGACCTATGACTGATACAAGGATCACGATGGGAACCATGAGTAAAATCTAAATGCATGACACAGAGCAAGTAATAAAAGTAAAAGAGGATCAGCATGAAGATGGCTATGAAGATCAGCATGCAACAGTTTTTTGAACAGGCAAAAGATGTAAAACTAACCTCTCACCACCAACTACACAAACAGCACATGTTCCTGTTGGAGCCTTGTCATCTTCATAGTATTGTACCTGATTACAAAGGTAAATAAATATTTATTGACTCAAAATAATTTGATAGCTGAGGGATCAGTAGGGTAGGTGAAGATGTAGAGAAACTCACATTAACACCAGCAAGTTTACTATTTTTCTTCATCTCTTCTCCAAATTTGTCCTTCCCAATGGATCCAATGTAACTAGTCGCATCAGGAACTTGGAGCATCCACTGTAACAAAATAACACAGAAATTGAGATTTGTTATCAGTACAATACGATTGAATCAGATCTTAAATAAAATACAAAATTCTCTTAAAAATACGTAAACAAACCTGGGCAACCTTAATTGAATTTTGAGTAGCACCTAAAGAGAGCACAATAAACATATAGTGCATTAGTCAACAGATTGCAAAGGATAGAAAAATAGGCATTATTATCAAGCAAGTTTGTAGACAAGATCATAAAAATGGCATCACCAAATACCAAAGAGAACAACTTATCAACTTACCTCCAGCAATATACTCTACATTGGACTTGGAAGCCATTTCTTCATACCTGTGAAAAACCATCCACAAAGATTGAATAAGCAAATGCAATATTCCGAAGTTGCAAATGCCAGAAACCAATCATGATGTTATGTTTAAATGAACCTCTAAGAGGAGCTTATAAACATAGAGCTTACAGATTAGAAAACTAACACCTTTTGCCAATAAGAAGATATGGGGTTCAAACAGGGAAAGTTAATTGGTTTTAGTTACTGACTGGAAGCTATGGAAATAAAAGACAACATTTTCTAAACCAAGGTGATTTAATAAGAAAACAAGAAAGTAAGGATGAGAACCAAAAATGAACTGAAATTACATGGGCAGGTGCTTGTCCTCAGCAAGAATGGCATACCGTGAATACAAAAAAATCACAAAATCAAACAAGCAAGTAACCACATTGGCCTTTTCCACTTTAACTAAGTGAGCATGAGCAAAGCGCATAAATGATATGAAAAACCATTGAAGTTCTATTAAAAGCACACAATCCCAATCATCAGTGACAAGGAGAATTTGTTGCACTATATCTAATCAGATCAGATCCAAACCAAAACAGTCACATATATATCAGCTACAAGAACTCAACTATTGCTCATCTGGGTTGCTACCATAATGGAAAAGATGAGGTTTTGGGTTAAGCCCATAAAACAAAACAAAACAAAGAACAATAAATCCTTCAGATCTATCTTCTTTATCATAATCCTCTGTTTCTTAAAACAAAAAATTTTCAGATCTATCTACACGAGTTTGCCCAATAAAAGTTATTGACAACAGATCGCACATTCCTACCATTTTCTGAGCAACCAAACAGTACCAGAGCATGGGAATATAAAAACGTAAGATACCAAAATGGGGGCTTACTTTGTCAAGAATTCATCGTCAACGACAGCTGAAATGTCGAGAAGAGGATTGCCCATCCCCAGGAGAACCCGCTCGTACGCCATCGATGAAATTTGCGAGAGTTCTGAAATGTGTTTTGAGAAAGAGAGAAACAGAGGTCGAGCAGCTAAGCACAAAGCGAGTGTGGGTTTGCGAGGTATTTATAGTAAGCAGCATACGTGGAGGAGAGATGTCACTCAATATCACCAACCCCCAAAGCTCCTTTTGATTTTTCTTTCGATTTAATTTATTTTTCTTTGGGGTTTTTTTTTCACAATCATAAATCTATCTTAATACTTGAGCTAAAATAATTATAAAATATGTGATGTGTGAATCTATTTTTCATCGACCGTTACAAATATCATTTGAATTAAAGTTAATAAATAAAATACCAAGCAAACATGATATGAACATATACCAAACACCAGTCCTACTTTTAAAGCTATTGATTTGTTGGCCATCCTTGATTGAGACCTTCAGCTTCCCCCCACTCCCCCTCCCCCTCCCCCTCCTCCTCCTCCACCCATTTTTATGTTTTCTTTTGGTTGGTGATTACCTTTATCTTCACCTTCACCTACCAAGGTTGGTGATTCAGCACATGATAGTAACGCTTTTGACATTTGCAAAGAATTATCTTATCTAACTTGACTTATTAAACAAGGTTCCGATTGGAGTTAAACAACAATGGGGTTGGTGTAACATCTAATAAGCATCCTGTCATTTCCGTTCCCACTATTCCCATCTCATCGATTCAAATGGATTTTATTGATTGAGAATGTACATCTCTTGAAAAGCATGAGTTTCATCTCTGTTTTTTTTAGTACAAGCGATAGTCTAAATTACAAGGAATGGAGATTTCTCACACACGCACTACCGCGATGCCATGAAGGGTTTCACCTTTTTAAGTGATTATTTTTTTATAACAAAAGTTTGTGTTGTGGATTCTGTTTAAATGAAGTTAAACAACAACGATTACAATTTTGAGAAAATGAGGTAGAGAAAACAGAGACAGAGAGAAACAGTACTTGTAGGAAGCAATTATTTCTTATTCCACAAAACTGGAAATCAATCAGGCCAGCTGGTTGAGACCTTACATGTTTTTCGAGTTAACAAAATCTATCATTTTGATCAATGTATTTACCAATACCAGTTGGTCAGCTTCCTTGCTTTCAGCTTTCATACAGGTTGGGCAAAAGAACACATCCTCAGAGATAGAGAAAGAGATTTAAAGAAATAAAGCCACCTTTTGTGACTTTTGTTTATAATACATTTTGTTGATCTGCTGAAGATCGACTACAATGTAGACAACATATAAGCAATAAAATGAAAATAAAAGAAAAAAAAAAACCATGCACTTTCCAGTTTCAAGGCCATACAGCCTTGTATAAAAGGAAAAAAAAAACATAAATTTTTGAAAAGAAAATTAAGTAATTTGCAGTAGTAAAGCCATAACCAGCACTCTCTAAGATATGGGAAGAGGAGCACCATTCCACTCCTTCAAGCAGTCCAGCAGAGGATCAATAAACTTTCCAGCACAGATTGCATTGAACACCTTGTCACTTTCCTCACCTGGTGATCTTACTTTGTCACCTGTCAACAAAGCAGTTCCCAGCTCTTCTCTCACAAACTTGTATAGTGGGTAAGACCTGCAATCTTTGATTCTGTTTGGGATTGCTGGTTTTCCATTATCATATTCAAGCCTGGCACTTTCAACTTCTTTGGGCAAGAGGGTCTTAAGCTCCTCTTCAAAAGCTGTAATCTTTTGGAAGATTGAAGTGCTTGAACTCTTTTCCTTCTCACCATTGTTCAATGCATGCTCAACTAGAACATGCCTCAGTTTCTGCATCAATGGATAGGTAGCACTGCAGGGGTCATCGATGTAAGCGAAAACGTACTCGCGGTCAACCACCTTGAGCAAGTCTTTCTCACAGAACCTAGAGGGGTGAAGCTCACCATTGAAGCCCACTGTTAGGACTCTCTTGGCCACTTGACTGACAGTGCTCTTCACTGTGCTCTTCAAGTTCTCCTCCAAATGTCTCAGATCAACAGCTTGGCACAATGCAACTAAGTATGTGGATGACATGATCTTCAATATGTCCACAGCCTCAGCTGTCTTTCTAGAAGAAATCAATCCCAAGGAGTTGACATCTTGGTTGTGTTGCTCTGCACTTTGGACATGGTTGGTGACAGGGTTGCCAAGGAATTGGAGCTCTGAGCAGTAAGATGCCATTGCAATTTCAGCACCTTTGAGCCCATAATCCAAGCTTGGGTTGCTGCTTCCTGTGAGATTTGAAGGCAACCCATTGTTGTAGAAGTCATTGACAAGCTCAGAGAATTGGGCAAAAATGAGTTTGCCAATAGCAGCAATGGCTAATCTGGTGTTATCCATGGCAACACCAATTGGGGTCCCTTGGAAATTTCCACCATGTAAAGCCTTGTTCCTTGAGACATCAATCAATGGGTTATCATTCACTGAGTTGATCTCCCTCTCAATCATTTTGGTTGCTGCTCTGATCACTTCAATCTGTGGGCCCAACCATTGGGGAGAAGTTCTAAGAGCATATCTGTCTTGCTTAGGCTTCTGAAGAGGATCTAAGTCATGCACCTTTTCAGCTGCTTTTACATAATCACTTCCAGCCAAAATGTGTTCCATTATGGCTGCAGCCTCAATTTGGCCTGGATGATGCTTCAGTTTATGTGTCAAATGGTCTGTAAATTCAGGCTTCCCTTGCATAACTTCAGCAAAAATTGCTGACATGACTTCTGCTAAAACTGCTTGAGTGTTGGCCTCAAAGAGAACCATAGAAGCCAAACCAGAGCCAACTGCAGTGCCATTGACCAATGCAAGACCCTCTTTCGGCTGCAACTCAAAGAACCCACCATCAACCCCAGCCAACTTGAAGGCGTCAGCAGCAGTAAGGGTTTCTCCATTGGGCCCTGTGGACTTGGAGTTGGGCCTGCCAATCAAAAGCCCAGCAAGGTAGGAGAGAGGAACCAGGTCCCCTGATGCACTGATTGTTCCTCTCAGAGGAAGGCATGGGGTGATGTTGCTGTTGAGGAACTTGGTTATGGCCTCCAAGATTTCAAATCTGATGCCTGAGTAGCCTTGGAGGAGTGTGTTGATCCTCACAAGCATTGCTGCTCTTGTTGCGGTGTGAGGCAATGTGTGGGTAGATTCTGTGCTGCTGCCAAAGATTCCAGCATTCAAGAATCTGTTCAACAAACAAAAAAAGAAACTCAATTAACACCATATATATATTTTTTTTAATAAAAGCTGATATCGGGAGAGGGCGGTTTTCTCACACACTTTTAACACGATAAAATTCATTTCCACTGGGCTAGACACGTTGCCTAGTAAAATTAGTAAAGTGGGTGTTTTTTTGTCCCAAAACAGAGACCTCTATAGTTATTGTGTAAGAGGACCAGACTATATTGGATCAGCAAGGAACAGACGGTCATGTGCACAAAATTCAACATGTTGTGAAAAATGAGAGCTTTCTTGATTAATATATTTTGTGTTTATTTTTTTTAAATGATTATAAATTACTATTCTACTTTATGTCAAGCAAATGTAAAATAGGACTATTTTATTAATAATAGTATAATTATTAATAAAATAGAACTATTTTATCGAACATCATTGACAAATCTTCTCCTAAATAATAGTATAAATATAATGTGTCTGTGTCGCGCTAAATCCCCAATTACTTTGACCGGTCATAAAATTATTTTTATTATCAATATTAGTTATTTGATCTTTATTAAATTACAAGACTATCAAAATGTTTTGACAAATAGAAATTGTTTTTATTCATCTTTTTAATAGCAAGGGAGTGCTATCCTCGTTTACTCAACTTACCATGAATATAAATATTTTAAAAAATATAAAAAACCAGTTATAGTAGTAAATAAATAAAAATATTTATTTTATTTAGTTTGGAGAGTGAATTTATATTCTCAGGTGAAAGACTCAATCACATGATGACTCACGCACGTTTGGACAAAAATAATCTTATGAAAAGAAATTTATATAAATGTATTTAAAAATAAAAATTATTATAAATTTTTGGTGAAATGGTCATTCTCCTTCTCTAGATTTTTTCCCTTCTATTTATTTTTTGGTGGTAAGGCCATCCCACCATGGAATTCAAGCATATTCATAAAAGAAAAAAAAACAAAAACCAACATAACACAGAAAAGTCCATATCAATTTGTTACTTGCTATTGTCGGGTGAGATAACGAGTATCTACTCGCATTTATAATGGGCTTCCTAAATCATCTCACGGGAGCGTGAGAGCAAGATGCCTTGATATGTTGAATGGATGAATTAATTATAGTTAATTACCTAATTAGCTCCCTCTGGAGGGCTCCACCTTGCTTGGTTCTCCTGTGTGAGGTTGCACCAAAACCAGTGGTTACACCATAGCTGTCTGTACCCTTGCTCAAGCTATCCATAACCCAGTCGCTGCTGGCCTTCACCCCAGCCCTGGCCTCCTCAGAGAGCTCCACGTGGATCCCACTGTCGTGGTTTGCAATTGCAGCCACCTGAGCTATGGTCAGGCTCTCTCCACCCAGCCTGACAACTGGCTTCCTGTACTCGTTGACCATCCGTTTGACCTCGTCCAGGTGGCTCCCTTTCAGTGACTCAGCAGCCATGCCCCAGTTCAATGGTTCCTGTGTCCCATGTAGCTGATCATGCCCCACGCAAAACGACTCCAGGGAGGAGCCATTCCCATTGCCGTGTAGATCCTTATTGCCGATTTCCATTGCTTCCCAGATCACAAATAATGCCAAACTTGACGAACCGGATGAGGAAAAATGTCAAAATTTGATGAGGGGACAAATTACAAAATGGCACAAAGGGCAAAAGGGTTTTTTTTATAACTCAAAAAATGGGATTAAAAATGGAAAGAAAATAAGGGAATGGGAAAGGAAGAGGCTGCTGAATTTGGATGGAAAATTTCCTATGTATGAGTGAAAATTTTCCTGAGTTGGTTCACCCTTATTTGCCTTGTTTATATAGGGGCCTTCCTGCATAGAGCTCTGGGGTTGGTAGGCCGATGGGTTAGTTGAAAACTGCAGGTGGCCCTTGGATCTTCATGATCTTGAACGGTTGGCAGCGCGACACGTGGCGAATTTGTGTGTTTGTGAACAACATGTGTAGTTTAGGTGGGGTTCAAAAACGCGGGCTTTTACTTGTCAATGGTAACTGGAAGGAAGGAGGTTGGTGAGCAGGCTGTGAGAGAGAGCACGGAAGCAGCACGTCATATTTGTAAAAATGACTAGTAGTTTTGGGTACAATGGAAGGCTAGTCATAGAGTTTTGTGAGAGAATAGTATCGATATTATTCTCAACTTAACGTCACACTGGAACTTAGGTGTGAAGTTTTTTTCAATCTTAAAATGCCTCCATGTAACTAAAGAATATATCCCATTTAATAGTTTCGGTATTAGACGATTATTCATCTCCTATTGATCATTTCTAAAATTGGTCCAAGTTTATGCACCTAAAAGGTAAAATCTATATATATAAAAATCTATATGACCGGGCCTTCAGTTACTTCTGCACGCTATGTTAGCTTGACATTTCTAGTGGAAAACCAAACCAAGTTAAATAAAAACATGATTGGGTGATTTTGCTTCATCCTATAGGGATTTTCTTTTTCTTTTTCAAAAGATTCAACGAACCTAGGTGATTGAATACTTTTTGTTCTCCTCTTCTATTAATTTCTACCATATATTTGAATTTGTTTTTTTGTTTGAATATGTTTGAATCTTATGTTGCATGAAATTTCCAAATTTAGGACCACTTCTTTCTTTTTATGCACCAGTTCTTAGTGGAAAACCTACCAACCCCATCCCCTCTAATTTATTTGGTTTGTGTTTGGTGGGATTTTGGCATGGAGTCTGTCGTGGCCTTTTTATATCCCTCAAATTCCACACCTTATTAATTGCAGTCATTAATAAACCTATCTTCTTTTTTCCAGCACAAGTGATTGTCTGGATTATAAGGGCTTGTTTGATTTGCGGATTGAACTTCTTATGAATGAACTTCTCATATCTAATCCCAGGAGATGGAAACACTACCAAAAAAAGTGGCAACAGTCACCATTATTTGGTGATATTTGGTGACTAATGCGAGGGTGACTAAAGGCTTTAGTCACTAAAAATATCTTTTTTGGTAGTCACCAAATAATGGTGATTGTTGCCAATTTTTTTTGTAGTGAAATAGAGAATGTTCATTCTCATGTTTGGGAACGCTGAGAAATGAGGACCACGAGGAAATGTCATTTTCTTCCATTTCCCACGTTTGATTTGTGCAGTATTAGAATGATAAGTTGTACATTTCTTTCAACATTAATTGCAGAAACATTGCTTTAATTGCTTTCCTAGATGAGAGGAAAAAGCTCAGCCACGAT